GGATAATCAGTTGAACATGAGCTCCCTATGCGACGTTGTGGCCAAAAGAGCTATTGCAATCCTGGGATCCATAAACAGGGGAATCTCGCAGAGAGGTTATTTTACTCTGTATTTGGCATTGGTGCGACCGCTGCTGGAATCCTGTGTCTGGTTCTGCAGTCCACAGTTCAAGAAGAATGTTGATCAACTGGAGAGTGTTCAGAGACGAGCCATGAGAATAATTAAAGGATTTAAACCGTGTCTTGTAGTGATAGACTCAGGGAGTTCAACCTGTTTAGCTTAACAAAGAGAAGGTTAAGGAGTGACTTAATCCCAGGCTATAAGTACCTATACGAACAAATATTTAATAATGGGCTATTTAGTCTAGCAGAGGAAGGTCTAACACGATTCAATGGCTGGAAGTTGAAGCTAGACAAATTCAGACTGGAAATAAGGCATACGTTTATAATCATGAGAGTAACTGACAATCGGAACAACTGACCAACGGTTGTGGTGGATTCTCCATCACTGGAAATTTTAAATCAAGATTGGATTTGTTTCTAAAAGATCTGCTCTGCGATTTCTTTGGGGGCAGGTCTTTGGCCTGTGTCATGCAGGAGATCAGACTAGATGATCACAGTGGTCCCTTCTGACCTTGGAATCTATGAACCTATGAATGCACGGTGCTGTGGTATTCAGTGGTGGTGTAGCCATGCTGGTTCCAGGATATCAGAGACAGCGCGGCAGGGGAGGGCGCCGAGCCCGCCGCGGCTCCGCTCTCCCCGGCGGCCAGAGCACCGGGAGGAGGGCGGAGAGTCCGGCCGGGGCTCTCTGCTCTCCCCAGCGGCCAGAGTGCCGGGAGCAGGGTGGAGAGCCCGACCGGGGCTCTCCGCTCTCCCCAGCGGCCAGAGCGCCGGGGGGAGGGCGGCGAGCCTGGCCGGGGCTCTCCGCTCTCCCCGGCGGCGAGCGCCTGGCAGCCAGAATGCCGGGAGCAGGGCGGCGAGCCCGGCCGGGGCTCTCCGCTCTTCCCGGCGGCCGGAGCGCCGCGGGGAGGGCGGCGAGCCCAGTCGCGGCCCCGCTCTCGGGCCGGAGCGCCCCGCCGCGCTGCCCCCCTCCAGGCGCCGCCCCAAGCACATGCTTGGTGGGCTGGTGCCTGGAGCCAGCCCTGATCAGAGAGAGAAGGTGGATGAGGTAATGTCTTTTATTGGACCAACTTCTGTTGGTGAGAGAGACAAGCTTTCGAGCTACACCGAGTTCTTCATGTATGGGAAATGTATTCAGAGTGTCACAGCTAAATACAAGATAGAACACATTGTTTAGCATAAGTAGTTAGTACATATTTCAAGGGACCATTCAAGGAGAAGTGGCCTGTAAACACCCCTCCAGACACAGGGAAGAAAGGAACAGAGAGGAGAAACATAAGAAATGAAAAAGGCAGTTGTTAGTGGGCGGATATCTGATTGTTGTAATAAGCCATGAATCCACTGTGTCTGTTGAGTCTATGATTTTTAGTGTTTAGTTATGAATTTAAGCTCCCAGGCTTGTCTTTTGAACGTGTTGTTCAGGTTTCCTTGGTGAATGAGTACTGAGAGTGATACAGTGGTTGTTTTGTGAAAAGTGTTGGCCCATGGGTGATAGGGTGTTTTTGTCTGTGTGAGTTAATTTGAGAGCGCAGTGATTGTCTGGCTTCACCCACCTAGTTGTTTTTGTTTGGGACAGTCAGTGACTAGCTGAGGTACACCACACGTTGTGACAGGCATGGATAGGTAGGACCTATTGATCTTGAAAGGTGTGTTGTGGGAAATTATAATCGCAGCAATGGAGCTACATTTGCAGGTTTTGCATCTGTTGTTCTGACAGGGTTTGGTGCAGCTTTGAGTTGGTGGGTCCTGGTCTGTGGGGAGCTTGCTTCTGATGATGAGCGTGGCAAGGTTGGGGGGTTGTTTGAAGGCCAGAATAGGGGGTTCAGGAAAGATTTATTTCAGGATGGGGTCCCCATTGAGTATGGGTTGTAATTGTTTAATGATACCCCCTCTGGGTTCCAGTGTGGAGTGGTAGGTGACCATTAGGGGTGTGTGGTCAGAAGGGGTTTTATTTCCGTATTGAAGGTTCTCTCTGGGTATGTGGGTGGCCCGTTCCATGATGCGATCTTCTTATGATGGAGTCTCCTTGTTTGGTGAAGGCGATTTTAAGTGTGTTAAGGTGTATATTTGTGACTTTGTCCTCCAAGCATAATCTATGATATCTGAGTGCCTGGCTGTAGCTAAAAGATTTCTTGCTGTGTTTGGATTGGTTACCAGATCTGCGTGATGATCTATGGGTTTCTTGTATATGGTTATCTGTAGGGTTGCATTGTTGAAGCTGACTGTGGTGTCCAGGAAGTTGAGGCTAGTGTGGGAGTGTTCCAGAGAGAGTTTAATGGATGCAGGGTGGTGGTTGAAGTTGTGGTAGAAATCTATGAGGGAGTTCAGATGTTCTGTCCAGAGCATGAAAATATCATTGATGTATTTCGGGTTTCATGGTGCATTTGTCCAGGAGATACATTCTTCCTCAAGGTGGCCCATGAAAAGTGTGGCGTATTGGGGAGCCATCCTAGTACTGATGGCTGTTCCCATGGTTTGGACAAAGTGCTGTTGTTGAATGTAAAATGGTTATGAATGAGGATGAAATGGATGAGTCTGGCGCAGTGTTTGAGGTGCTTTCTGAGGGGTGTCTATTGTTTTGTAGATAGTTGAGGCAGGAAACAATGCCGTCATTGTGAGGGCTGTTGGTGTATAGGGAGGTGACATGCATGGTAGCGAGGATGGTGTTCTGAGGAGGGTTATTAATGTTGCAGAGTTTCTGGAGGAAGTCAGTTGTGTCCTGGACAGGGTGGATTTGATTTAAATCACTAGTCCAAAAGGCTTGATTTAATCATGGTTTTCTACATAAAAGTGCATTCTTGTTGGTTGTTATAACCTTAATACATATTCTTCACAACTCAGAGATGGATGTAGGCTTTCATTTTTAGAAGGTAAACACTATACATTATTAAACAGTAATTTATTTTGAAAACTTTTCAGATTCGTTTTACAGCTATATCAGAAAATGAATGATTGTTTGGTTATTTCATTTACCAAAGGTAATAGAAGCAGATATTTATGATGTGATTGGGAGGTGAACTATCTCCAATTCAACAGGTTAATCATTAATATTTGGAGGATTTTCTTGCCATGTTGTATTAGGAGGAGAACATCACCAGACAGATATTTAAATAGTTTTATTTAACTAAAACAACAACGTTAAGTATTCTGGATTTTTGTCTTCAACAGCAAACATATAATATTTTAACAAAACAAGCATATGTCCCTCGCGTCTCACATTTATCTCCTGACTTCTTCTCCTTGGTATTGCCTCTGTGTACACAAATTTGCAGCGGGACAATAGAGTTGAGGTCTGTTTTTTCTCACCTCTATATATTATTTGTTTATTTAAATACATTTTTGCTGTTAACAAGCACGTTACTTCTGGAGACACAAATCCACAGTTTGAGAACTGCAAAACTAAGCATCTCTGATGGTATCTTCTAGTCTGAGCACTGAGTCCCATTGGGTAGATAGAAAGATTAACCTAAATAATCTATACAGAAGCCTGTGGAACCCCATAAGATTGGGTCCCTAATCCATGAACTATTGGAACTCATTTACAAAACTTTTCTTAAATGTTACATGAATATATTGTCTCATAATAGTGAATTAGAATTTATAATCCCTATTCCATGATGAGATATCTTTGAGCTATAATGTATCTTAAGGTTTTTTCCTCAAAAAGCATTTTATAAAAAAATCTGATTTAAATAAAAAAAATCATTGATTTTTATCCACCCTAGTCCTGGAGGAAGCCAGCCCTTTGTGTGGTGAGTGGTCCGAGGATGGTTCTATGAGTCCCCATATCCCTTCAGCAAGGGTTCCATGGCCAGATATGATGGGTCTGCCTGGGGGTCCTTTGTCTATAGAAGGTCTCTGGGGATGAGGTTGTCGAGTTTCTCTTGGAGTTGTTTGGGGAAGGATTCGATGATATCCCTTAAATTCCTGGGTGGACTGTGGCGTGGGGTCTCTGAGTTCTTTATAGTAGCCAGTGTCGGAGACTTGTTGGTTGGCCTTGTTGCCGTAGTCATCGTGGTTGAGGACTGTGATGGCACCCCTTTGTCTGCTGATTTGTTCACTGTGTGGTGGTTGAATTTCAGGGGCTGTGTAGCTGTCCTCTCCGCGGTGGAGAGATTGTGGCTGCAGTTTGGTCTGCTGCTATTTAGTGCCATCTAGTGGCATCAGGGTGAAAAGCAGGCAGGAAACCCCAAAGCAAGCTCCGATACCATTGTGGTGTAGGGTCAAACTGGGGTGTCGGTGGGAGGCTGTTTGTTTGCTAGCGAGAGTCCGTATGTGCGTTATTTATTACAGCCAGTGCCTGGCTGGTGTGACTGCCTCAAATCCTTTGCAGTTCTTTTCTGTTGACATGAGGCCCGACCCTGCACTCTGGGAGGGGGCTGGATAATAACAGCTGGCACTGTCCATCCCTAAAGCCCAAAGTGCCTTGCAAAGCCAGGACAGCCCAGAATTTCCATGCTACAGAGGGGAAACTGAGGCACCCAGTGAGCGGTAACAGAGCTGGGCACAGAACCCAGCTCTCCTGGCTCATAGTCTGGTGCCCAGTGTCAGGTCATGCTGCTGCTTCAGGTGCTGGGTTAGAGGCTTGTTGGTGCACAGGGAGGGAGGGGGTGTGGTCTGGAGCCAGGGTCCGTGACTCAGGGCACCGGGGTTTTGTTCCCAGCTGAATCATCCGTGGGCAGGTCCCAACCCCTCGCTGCCTCAGTTTCCCTCTCCAAGCATGGGGATAACACCACTGCCAGGCTTAACTTGCCCTTGATGAAGGGCTGTGTCCCGAGTGTGCACGTTGGGGCCTCGGGCTTGCACCCTTGGCTGGGGAGGGATGAGAGGGTTTGGGGAGCTGCAGCCCATGTCTCACCCCTCCTCTCCTCTCTGCAGCCACCTCTAACCTGGACCTGGAGAGCAAGAAAACGCCCCACTCCAAATTGCCATGGCAACAACCCATGAACGTGTTCCTGGCCGCGGGCAGGTCGCCCTGCGTGGAGGAGCTGCACCAGGAGGCCCAGTTCAATCTCCAGAGCTTGCTGCAAGGTACCCCACGCTGAGGGGAGGGCTGGGCCGCAGCAGGAACGCTGCCTGCCTGGCTCTCGGGGCATGACACACCCATGGGATGGGGTGGGGGGCAGGCTGTTTCCACAGCTCCTGGTACATGGGGCAGCAGAGAGCAGACTGTCCCATTGCTGCCAGGAGGGGAGGGGAGAGCAGGGAGCAGAGTGATCCATGGGGAGGAGGGAGCAGATTGACCCATCGCATGGGGGGGGGAGAAGCAGTGAGCAGACTGACCCATTGCTGACAGGAGAGCAGGGAGCAGAGTGACCCATGGGGAGGGGGACAGGAAGCAGATTGACCCATTGCACACAGGGGTGGAGGGGGGAGCAGGGAACAGACTGACCCATTGCTGTCTGGAGGGGGCAGAGTGCTCTCTTCCCCCTGTCCCCTTGTGAAATTGGCGTCAGCTGCTCCCTTCTCTTATCCTCCCCACACACACGCCCTCATGCAGGGTATGGGGCCATGTGGGTCTGTTAAAGTATGGATTGAATGAATGGACTATAAGGTGGATAGAAAGCTGGCAAGATCGTCGGGCTCAACAGGTAGTGATCAATGGCTCCATGTCTAGTTGGCAGCCGGTATCAAGTGGAGTGCCCCAAGGGTCGGTCCTGGGGCCTATTTTGTTCAATATCTTCATTAATGATCTGGCGGATGGTGTGGATTGCACCCTCAGCAAGTTTGCAGATGTGACACTAAACTGGGAGGAGTGGTAGATACTCTGGAGGGTAGGGATAGGATACAGAGGGACCTGGACAAATTAGAGGATTGGATCAAAAGAAATCTGATGAGGTTCAACAAGGACAAGTGCAGAGTCCTGCTCTTAGGACGGAAGAATCCCATGCACTGCTACAGACTAGGGACCGAGTGGCTAGGCAGCAGTTCTGCAGAAAAGGACCTAGGGGTTACGGTGGACAAGAAGCTGGATATGAGTCAACAGTGTGCCCTTGTTGCCAAGAAAGCTGATGGCATTTTGGACTGTATAAGTAGGAGCATTGCCAGCAGATGGAGGGACATGATCATTCCCCTCTATTTGACATTGATGAGGCCTCATCTGGAGTACTGTGTCCAGTTTTGGGCCCCACACTACAAGAAGGATGTGGAATAATTGAAAAGAGTCCAGCGGAGGGCAACAAAAATGATTAGGGGGCTGGAGCACATGACATATGAGGAGAGGCTGAGGGAACTGGGATTGTTTAGTCTGCAGAAGCGAAGAATGAGGAGGGGGTTGATAGCTGCTTTCAACTACCTGAAAGGGGGTTCCAAAGAGCATGGATCTAGACTGTTCTCAGTGGTAGCAGATGACAGAACAAGTAGTAATGGTCTCCTAGCCAGGCTGGGCAGCTCCAGTGGGGGAGGTTTAGGTTGGATATTAGGAAAAACTTTTTCACTCGGAGGGTGGTGAAGCACTGGAATGGGTTACCTAGGGAAGTGGTGGAATCTCCTTCCTTAGAGGTTTTTAAGGTCAGGCTTGACAAAGCCCTGGCTGGGATGATTTAGTTGGGGATTGGTCCTGCTTTGAGCAGGGGGTTGGACTAGATGACCTCCTGAGGTCCCTTCCAACCCTGATATTCTATGATTCTAAAGACATGTGGGTCCCAGCGAGAGCTGCTTCCTCCAGCCAGGGCAGTTGTCTGGTTCCTCTGCCTGCTAAAGCACGTAGCTTACTAGCCAAGGAGGAAGAATACCCACATGGGGCCAGTGCCCAGAGGCCAGAAGCCATGTCCAGGCGCTGGCACTCCCCCCATGCAGCTGCACGAGGCCAGCACAAGGCTGCTGTGCCCAGTGATCCTCGGGAGCTGCTGCTGCCCCCAGAGAGACCTGGGAGCACTTGGAGCAGTGGCTCCCATGTGCATCGCTGCAGGCACCTGTCCAGCGCCTAGGGCAGCCAGGCAGCACTAGGCCGGGCCCTACCCCACACAGCTCCAACAGTGACACAAATACAGGCCGGGGGAGGGGAGGATGAGGTGTCCAGCACAGGCAGCGAGCAGAGGTTTGCCCGCAGCAGGGCTGCCAACTAGCCAGGCTGGGCAGCGCTTTGTGGAGTGCTTGGAAGCAGCTGGGAGCTCCTCTGGGCTCTTCTCTCCATGTGCAAGGGGGGGCAGAGAGCAGGGCCCCATTGCTGTGAGAGGGGCCCAGAGAGTGCATATTTGGCATATGCCCAGTGCATGTCCCACTAGCCTTTGGCTCAGCACTGGGGTGGGGAGGGCACAGCGCATCCGAATCCACCAGCTATGGAAATGCCCTGGCTGCTTGTATTTCAGAGGAGTATGAGGAGCAGTACACAGAGGCTAGGGTCACTGGTCAGACCTTCCGCTACGCCAGCCACCTGCCCCTGGACACGCCCCCTGAGCCCTCTCCCAGGCCCCTGCCCGCCAAGCGCCTGGAGTTCGTGTTTATGGTGAGTCCATCTCTGTACAGAGGCAACCCCAAGGCGCTGTGTCTCAGCAGCCTTCCTACGGTCATGGGCTCAGGGATAGAGGGTATCAGTTCTGCCTGATGTCACCCAGAGAGGTTACTGCAGAGCAGTAGGTGGGGGCGGGGGGGAGCTGTGAGTCATCGGCAGAGCTGATGATAGGGGAGAGCGACTGGCTGGGGTAGTGGGGGGCTCTGGGTCGGGAGTGAGGGGCATCGAAGAGCTGGCCCTGTGCTGGGATTGCCAGGGACTACGGGTCGGGAGTGGCACAGGAGGGAAGGGGATAATCCTACCTACAAGGTTTTTGACTCAAACCATCACTCAGTCCCTTGTTCTGAGCACTAGATTCCTGCCCACACACACACAGTCACCTCCTGCTCCCCACATCCCCCCTTCCTCCCCCACACTCCCACAATCCCTCCCTTCCCCACACTTATTATCGCCCCACCAGGACACTGGTGTCTCAATCCATTTCCTTTGTTCCCTGGCAGCCCGCAGCCCGGCGCGTGAATGAGGACGAGGCCACCACACTGGGGGTGAGGCCCCCAGAGCCATTCCTGAGCCTGCCCACCACCCCAGACAAGCAGCCGGCCTGGACCCGAGCCTTCCCTTTGCCCACCGTGGAGGAGAAGAGGTGGCACCAATCCTGCTCCATCCAAGCCAACATTGTCCCCATCAATGTCTCTGGTAGGGCTGTGCCCCTTCCAGGCCCCCCTGGGAGTGTGTGTAGAAGCATGGGGGGCAAGGAGTTAAATCTTTTCAGTCAGCTCCCAGCAGCGGCGCTGGGGTTCTGTGGCCTGCGCGGGGCGGCTTTGGGCACAGCAAGTGCCGCTGGCTCTGAGCCCCAGGCACTGTGATGCCACCGCCAGGGAAAGTGCATAGGTCCTGTAAAACCGAAATGCAGCAATGTGGGGAGGCGGGGCCAGGCACAGGGAGACCTGCAGCGATGTGAGGAGGTGGGGCCAGGCACAGGGAGACCTGCAGCGATGTGGGGAGGTGGGGCCAGGCACAGGGAGGTGGGGCTGGCCTGCAGCGATGTGGGGAGGCGGGGCCAGGCACAGGGAGGTGGGGCTGGCCTGAAGGGATGCTATTGGCCCACATGTGCTGTGGGTTATAAAGATGCTGGGATCACGCTCAGTAGCCAGGCCGAGGGGAGCGCTCAGGGGGCAGTTTGCAGGGCAGCATTTCTGTGCTTTGTTTTTGCCCATGTATTTTACCGCCCGTAACATCACCTTTCATTTTTGAGCTGCTCACTCTCATTAAGTTAATCCAGTCTCATCTGCATCAGCTAACGAGTGTCTCCGAGCTAACTGGTTGGTGTGTTCTGTTGTCACCTTGGTTCTCCCAGTGGTTGGGACCCATCCATCCGTGCAGGGGAACACGTGTGTTCGGCAGGAACGGGAGGCTGCAGGGCACTGGCTGCGGGCAGCAGCTCTGCTCAGCATGGGGCCTTCAGCAGCACCAAACTACCTGGGTTCTAGAGGAAACTAGCTCCGCCCGCCCATGCCCTCCCTCCCCAGGCACTGCATGAGCACCCTGCTCCACAGCTGGCTGAGAGGGCACATACCCCTGTGTAATGATGCGGTTCTGGCGGGACCCAACTGAGAGTGCCAATTCATAACTTCAACTACAAAATTGATACACACATATAGACAGCATAATCATAACCAGCAAACCATAACCTTGTCTTAGACACC